ACATGGAAATCCCTGTCCTGCTATTGTATGTTTTGGACAGGATATCATGTGCCCCAGTTTGGCCTCCAACTTACTGTGAATCTGAGAATGACCTTGATATTTTATCCTCTTCCCTCTACCTCTCAAGGGCCAGAATTACAGGTGTATACAGCCTTACATGCTGGCTTCTTTTGAGTCAACTTGACACAAGCTAGAGTCATCAGAGAGGAGGGAGTCAACTGAGAAAATGCCCCCATAAGACCGGGCTGTAGGCAAGCCTGTTGGGTATTTTCTTATCAGTGATCCATGTTGGTGGTGCCATCCCTGGACTAGTGGTCTGGGATTCTATAAGAAAACAAGCTGGGCAAGCCATGAGGAGCAAGCCAGTAAGTAACACTCCTTCATGGCCTCTACATCAGTCTCTGCTTTGAGATTCCTGCCCTGTTTGAGTTCCTGCCCTGACTTCCTTCAGTGCCATATAGCTGTGGTTAAAAACAATGGAATATTATTTAACATCAACTTCTGTGGACATATTAAACTTGACCAATTTTATTAGATCTTAACAATTCAGTAAAAACCCTTTTGATAACTATATTAAAAGACAGAATACATATTCATAAAAACCCACTGCTGAACTCCTTGAAGCTATGACTAAGAGCATATGCATTATCATCTAATTTGCAAGCTGAAGTAGCCACTTGTTTTCCAGAGAATGATTTTGCTTAGGCAAAAAGCAGTGGACAAGGGCCTGGAGTGTAGGGGGGGGGGGTCAGTTTTCAAAACTGTCATGCAGGTGTGAAGATCTGACTGCAGATCCCCAGAACCCACATGAAGTGGGGCAGAGTAACCCGTGTCCAATCCCAGGGTGCCTACAGAAGGATGGGTAGTAGATACAGGCCTTCCCGGAAGCCTGCAGGCCAACTAGCCTATGCCACAGTGATCAATGAGACGCCGTGTTTCAAACAATGTTCAAGACAAAGATGAACAGCTCAGGCTACCCTCTGACCTCTGCACACCTGAACTGCAGACAGTCACATGCACACTTCAACAAATGGACAAATAATGTTTGGCCAATATTTTCTCAGCCAAATGGGCTGCAAGGAAAACTAAACATCTCTATTACTGATGATAAAATCCAGATTTCACAACCCTTTCCATTCAATACTCTGCGCCTTTCTGAACTAGAACATTCCAGTTCCCTCAGATATTCTTCTTGCAGCTCTCCTCTCTTCTGGCTTCTTCTCGTGTGTACCTATGTGAGGGCCGATTCTCTACAGCTACTGAAACAGTGTACTGAATCACACCGGATGCAGAAACAGACCCAAATCTCCAGCTGTGTTCCATTAAGCCTCATGTTAAAGATACCTAGGAAAGTGTAACACAATGTCCTTCATAAAATTCTACTTTATTTTTGGAAGATATACTTAGTTTTTTTATAAACATGCTATATGTGCTAAGGTATGATAGATTAATTTTGAGACGAATAAAGAAACATTTGAAAAAAAAAAAAACGAAGAAACCTGGCAGTGGTGGTGCATGGCTTTAATCCCAGGACTTGGGAGGCAGAGGCAGAGGCAGGCAGATCTCTGTGAGTTTGAGGCCAGCCTGGTCTACAAGAGCTAGTTCCAGGACAGGCTCCAAAGTTATAGAAAAACCCTATCTTGAAAAACCAAATAAATAAATAAAATTTGAATGTTTCATTTTTCAGTTTGATGAAATATTGACAGACACAAGCTACATTAACAAAGGTGCTTTGGTATCCTCAGTTGTTGGAGTCTTGACACCAAAAAGGTTTCAGCCTCTCTAGTATGGTATAATTCTGGGGGCACAAACCCAGAAACCCCATTTAGTTACAATAATTTGGACCCCCTTTCCTTTAATAAGGTAATGATTAATTTAGAAAGAGCCTAGAGAATTCAAGGTAAGACTTTCTGACAGGGTGGAAGGTTGCTGCTGCCTCCCTTAGGAAGGACAAACACGTGTGGAACTCAGTTGTTCTGGGAATTCCTCCTTGGGGTTTTAGGTATCACCTCGGGGTCCACAGGTCTCTCTGCCAGCAGCTTTTGCAGTTTTTGTATACCCATTAGCCCCACATTTTAGCTGGCTACCACCGAAGTCCTTTCTTTGAGCTATCTTGCCCACTCTAGAATGCAGCCTTGCACGGAATGGCTCTCTGAGGCTCCCTCTGAGGCTGCCGGTGATAGATGCGAGATCTCATCCATCTCCTTGACTCTCTTCAGCTCTCAACAAAATGCCAGGTATCAACACATGTTTCCCACAGGATTGCTAAGTGACAGAGTAGGATGGAGACTTTGGATAGAAATGCTTCATTTACGCAATGCCTTCTCTCTACCTTACTGTTTCCTTTCTCTGAATGGCAGTTTTCTTGACGTATACACAGACCCAGGCTTCAGAGTTCAATGGATCACTGGCTTATCCCAATTTATCATTATGGAGGAATTACTTAACTTACTTGCACCGCAGTTTTGCATGTGGGTGTAACTAGACTGTTTTAACATAGAAGCATACAACAGATACTGGTATTATGCCCAATCCCCCCCCCCCTTTTCTGTGGGATACTTAAAGTTAATGATCAAAGATACATCAACCAAAAAGCAAAATACATAGCGCCCATTAGCCAGTGGGAAGTTGGTCCTGCTTACGTCCAATTCCTTTTCCTCTCTACTCAGTGTATGGAGGGAGGAGTGGAAATTTGATATCAACTGAAATATGTGCTTTAAATTATTTTAACTAAACCACGTAATCTGATATAGCCAATTCAATTATTAACTTATTTTTAGTACGGTTACTTTTGCCATTTTTCGAAGATTTACATTTATTTTCTCTCATTGATATAAATGAGTATTTGTAGGCAAAACTAGGCTTTTGGTCTGTGATCTTTCTGCCTCAGCCTCCCAAGTGCTCGGGTTAGGCGTGTGCCACCACACCTGCTTCTCCTCAGATCTTGATCAATTGCCCGTCTTCTATCCTGTGTGGCTCTGTGTGCCTCCTGGCCTTGCTTTCTTTCCATGTCTCTCTACACTGGTCATCATCCCTTCAGGGTTTTCCTGGCACCCGTAGGTCAGAATGGCTGAATTACTCAGGATTTTCCTGTTGTCCACAATTTTCTTTGATGTTCCCTGTAAACCCATAGCCGAGGACAGATCTCCAGGAATTAATCGAGAAGGCTCACGAAGGGAATGATGGATATAATAGGAAACTCTGCAAAGGTCGCTTTTTATCAGCTTTATTTGGTTTTAGCTGGACAGACCTGAGCCTAACTAAGGGAAGCAGTGGACTGGAGGGGAGTGGGAGGCCGTTACGTGGGAATGACTCCTATCTTTGAAAACATGTTTTAATTCCTCCGTCTAGAAGTTGTGACTTATGAAACTTAATGTTCTTTTTAGAAAGTAATTTTACTTACTTGTTTAATGTGTATGGGTGTTTTGTTTCCATGCATGTCTGTGTACCGTGTGCATGCCTGGTATCTGCGGGGACCAAAAGAGGGCATCAGATCTCCTGAGACTGGAGTTACAGATATGGATGCCAGGGATTGAACTTGGGTCCTCTGGGAGAGCAGACTATGCTCTTAGCTGCTGAGTCATTTCTTCAGCCTTTGATTTAGGAATTTTAAATAACATTCTCAGGATCCCTCCCCCTCTAGTTTTTGTTGTTTTGTTTGAAACAGAGTCTTTCTTTGTAGCCTGTTGTGGCCTTGAACTTGCTGCCATCCGTTATCTTAGCCTTCCCAGCGCCAGAGTTACAGGTGTGAAACACCATGCCTGGCAAGCTGTTAGAATGCTTATGCTCACCTTGGGGGAACCTAAAGGCTACTCGGCCTTGACATTTTCATATTCTTGAAGAATACTCTGGCAAAAGAGTTTTCTGCTTCCTGGAGCCCCCTCACACTCCTCCAGACCCGAATAAGTTTGTAAAATAGACGGCTTCCCTAAACTTAGCTCCCCAGGATGTCATCCAAGGCAGAGTGTAGGTCATGGCCACGATCAATCCATCTAGAAACTGACTACCGTCTAAATAAAGCATCCTTGAAGTTATAATTGAATAGGTTAGGTTAGTGAGCGCTCCCCCACCCCCACCAAGCTCCCGTGATTGAAGCCTTATGAGCATATATAGGGCGAGAAGATAAAGGGTTCCTTCCGGGGAGGGTGAAGAGGGACTCAGAACTAGAGTCAGAAGTGCGCCTATCTATCTGTCTAATTCATCCCACCTGAGTTAGAGAACTGTAGACATTTTAGACAGAAGACAGTTGGTGAACTAAGCATCTCTCGGAAGGTTCCCTGCAGGGAATGAGTCAGTGAGGCCTGTCAGGTGCAGGCTGCTTGTGGCTCCAGTCAAGAGAGGAAAAAGCCACAGGAGCGCCGTCCCTCTTGGAACAGGGAGTGCAAGCTTAGCTTAGCGTGATTCAGAGCTCTCCCCTGCTGGGCCAAAGCTAGACACCTGACTTGATCCACATTAGTCAAGGTGACATGTGGACACACATTTCCAGCAGTGAAGCTCACGGCTGGGAGTTAGATTTTTCAGTCCCATTGGGGAGGAAATGGCACCGACCTTCCAACATACAACCCCATTATGGTATTGTACAGTTTCTTCGACAAGAAATCCCACTTCTTGGAGGGAGGAAATGGAAGGGGAAATGACATAGCTATAGTATAGTTTCAAAAAAGTAAAACTTTCTTTTCTTTTCTTTTTTTTAAAGCTATGTGTCTTCTGTAATCTTTAAAAAGAGCTACTGCTGGCATTGTTTGAGAACATTGAGATAGAATGCCTTTATTACTTGTATAGAATGCCTCTCGCACACAATGCTCTTTGAAATTCAAGAGCACTAACGCTAACTTAAACAGTAAAATAAAAATAGACTATATATATGTATGTATATATACATATACACATACATTATATATATATATTTCCTCCTTCTCAGTTTTTTCAGAGCTGGCCATTTTCTCAAACACCAAGATGTGACAAATGCCACTGCACTGACCTGTCTGTCCTCTTTCTAGCTGTACCCAGAGCGATGCTGCTGTTTATCAAGTCTCTGCAAGAAGCCGCGAGGGGATGATCTGCTGTTCGGCATCCGTTGAGGTCCAGTGTCTGCAGGACGCGCAAGTGTCTCCTGACCCAGGAGGTGCCAGGGATGTGGTGGGCAAACATGAAACAGAGAGACATGAAGGAGATGACATAAAGCACACAGACGAGAAATGGAGCCCTTGTAAGGGAGAAGAAAGTGTGGGGGGTTGCATGTCAGCTGATTCCTCCCCCCACAAATCCAGCCACTCATGGTTGCCCCAGAGAGAGGCCATGTATGACTCTGGTGCTTCCAATTCTGAGAATCCTCTAGATGTTAAAGAGACAAGACAAAGGATAGAGCCGTACAGTTCAAACAACACACAAGACAATTCCTTTCATTCAGATAACACTACTGAAAAACAGGATGTATGTCAGCACAGGACAGGGCATGCAACTGAGCCGGGGTTAACTGGTGGTGACCTAGGTAGCAAAGGGGCTAATGAGGAGGGTGTGACCCCTCGTCATCAAAACCCCAAAGCACAGAAATACATCAGTTTTAGTCTCCCACTGCCGGAGGCCACCCTGTGTCCTTACCCAGGTGACAGCAACTCCATCACCGTGCAGCCCGGCCCACAGGTTTCCAGTGAAGACTCTGACAGTGACTATGAACTTTGCCCAGAGATAACCCTAACTTACACGGAGGAGTTTTCGGATGATGACCTGGAGTATCTGGAATGTTCCGATGTTATGACGGATTACTCTAACGCCGTTTGGCAAAGTAGCCTGCTGGGGACTGACCGAGTTTTTTTATTAGAAAGCGATGACGAAGAGATGGCATTGAATGAGTGTGGTCCGGGTGGGCGTGAGCATTTCCTCAGTGAAATGGGTTGTGGGCCTCGGGTGTCGGGTGACATGGGGCCTACGAATGCCACCACTGGCTTGTGTCCTTATCACTCACAACCCCAGGAAGTGGGGGTCAGGAGCAGCGGAGCCTCCAGGCATAGTCCCTTACCCCTGCATGCAGGAATGACTCTTACTCTGGGACCTCACCAGGATGGAACGGCTAAGATGACTGAACTGGGGAGGGCTCCACTCCCTACTGCTTCCGAGGCTGTTGGACATGATTGTCCAGGAATTCGGGGAGAAACCAGAGACAACCCTGAAGCGGGAGAGGAATTCTCCAGTGACAGTCTGCAGACCATGGATAAGGCAGAGACGGAGGCAGGGGTGAGGCCCTCGTCTGGGGGGTTAGAAAAGTCAGAAGTGAAGCAGGGTTTGAAAAGCCTGGCTGGGGAAAGAGCAGATGAAAAGCATCCGGGCAGCAGAAAGGCTGCCCAGAGACCCACCAGGGCGAGGCGGCCCGGAATGAAGGCAAATGCCAAGAAGCAGCTGCTGAAAGACAATTCTCCAAAAGACACGCTTGATCTGCTCCCCAAGGAACCGACTAGGCACCCCTTAACTGGGAACTATGGACAAGAGCCCACACACTCCGAGGCAGGAGCTGCTGGCTGGAATTCCCACTTCCATGCAGAACCGTGTATTCCACTTCCTGCAGAGCACGACACCAAAACCCCTCGGCCACCAGCAGACCCACTTCCGAAGGAAGGGGACACAAGCTTGGGGAGAAGAGGGGAGCTGTTTAATCAAATATTTGAAGCAAGCCAGATAGCAGACCAGACTGACCATCTTCAGGTAAGACCTGCTTTGTTTTGTTTTGTTTTTAAACGGCGAGAGGACACGTTTTGTGTGTGTGTGTGTGTGTGTGTGTGTGTGTGTGGTGTGTGGTATGTGTGTGTGTGTGGTGTGTGTGGTGTGTGTGTGTGTGGTGTGTGTGTGGTGTGTGTGTATGTGTGTGTATGTGTGTGTGTATGTGTGTGTGTGTGTGGTGTGTGTATGTGTGTCTGTGTGGTGTGTGTGTATGTGTATGTGTGTGTGTGTGTGTGTGGTGTGTGTGTATATATGTGTATGTGTGTGTGTGTGTGGTGTTTGTCACTTCACACAATTCTTGTACTCTAATGTAAATCAAAATAAATATTCCAGTGCCGTCGGGGTAGTTGTGAATGGCGGCTGCTGTTTCGGCAGCTAGGAAGGAAATCTGGCTTTGACAGAAGGCCCAGATAAACCCTGAGCCGTCCTAATTATAGCGAAGGAGCGATAGGTTGAAGTGTACTAATGGGATTCTGGACAGCTGCGAAAGAAACCTGATATTTTGCCTACGGCATGCGTTTTACTAGGCAGTGCTCGGTCTTCCGAGAGTTTCTCAAGTACTTGTTCATGGTGTCGCCTTTAAAGGGAGGGGGATCCCATTCTTTCTGGCCATTTTTCAGGTACACTTTGAAAATGGTAGACTTCGGCTTTAGTCAGAACACATAATGCAAGTGGCAGCCTTTCGGTGGGACTGAAAAGCTTACAGGATCCACTTGCCACACTGGAGAAAGGAGGAAAAGCTGATCTTGTGCGTGTGATGCAATGCTTTTGATTGGGCGTTTGCCTTATTTTTTGCTTTCCTTAGACCATAAAGTATAAAAGAGGCCAAGAAAATGCCAAGAAGAATGTGTATTGTTCCCCTGATAATGATTTGGGTATAATTTTTAGTTCTGATTTGAAAGAGACAGAATTATAGGAATAATTAATGCATAGAGAATGTTACGTTTCCTATACTTGTATTTTTAATTATGTAGTTTTATAATAGGTTTTGGGCTGATGATATGCTATGGACAAGATTTGGCTTTTGGAAACAAATGTCTTTAGGAATGTCTGTGTGTCCATATGTATGTTTGCACCCATGTATCTATTAAATTATCTATCATCTGCATATCCATCTATCATAATTATTACTATTATTACCCTTTTACTATACTTCTTGTTATTCCCAAACTTGAAGAGACACTGATATTTCTTACTACCTGGGAATCTATATTAAAAATCTGGTATTATTTTTATAGAAGAATAAACACTCCAAAGAAATAATCCCTAATGCAAAGTAGCTGAACTCAATGAGAAGAAATAATAGACCCCAGGGCTCTGGATTCCTAAAGGTCCTGTCATAAAGTAGCCAAAGTACAAATGTCCAGACCCGAACTCTAGAAGAACCAGTTGCTCTGTTCTGCTGGTGAAGTTGGCCAGATGGAGCCACCCTTTCTCCTTTCCGCTGGCAAACCAGCTTGGTCCATTGTGTTCCTTAAACATCCCACAGATCGGCTCACACACCACAGCCACAGGTCTATGCACATGACCGGTGCACGGAGGAACTTTGGCTAACTGCTAGTCTGAAGTGCCAGTGTTAACCTTTTAATGCCATTGAACACAGAATGTCCCTTTCTAGTTCAGCTAAGCACCTTTCTACAGTCGCTTGTGCAGTTAGAATGTGTTTCCCCAAAGAGGGCCTTTCCTCTTAATGGATGGAGGCAAGAGGAAGGTGGCAGTTGACCGTGTTGGCTTTAGACTCAGTCCTGTGAGAGCAGGTTCTAGATCTGTTAACTGTGGCCAGGAGGGAAGGGACCCCTGCTTTCCTCAGTTTGTGCCCTAACTAGAATTGGAGATGTATGCGTCTGTGGCCAGCAAGCTGGTTTACTGAAAATGCAGCTAAATAAAATGCCCAGTCTTTGGGACCAAGCCTGCACCCATCTGTCAGAGTTAGTTGTGAATCCACGTCCGTCCCCCCTTGACTGATGTTGTGCAGTGTTATTAGGTGATTAATGAAGACCCTGAACTTCCCTGTTCGGAAAAGTGACAGAAAAGTGGAATGTTTGGGCCAGTGGCATTTCTTCTCTTTAGATTAAAGCCGGAGGATTTTTCCCTCTGGGTTTGGCATATGTAAAAATGCAGATTCTTTTAGCCCTGTGAAAAGTTTCTATTTAATTATGGGAGATATCTATATTTCTTACACTCTATAAATCATGGCCAACAGATAGCAAGTGGCTAATTATTATTGCAAATTCGACATAGAAATAGGGGAGTCACTGGGAATTCTATAAAACCTTGTATAATATGATCCAGGGAAAAATGACTTTTTCCATAACTAAGTTCAAGTGCATTTTAAATATTTATTCTCTGACTCCTGAGGTTTGGGCACCTAGGGATTTTTGAATGCTTTAAAATCCTGCCTTCGGATTCATATTTATAAGTTTTTCCATCCTCAAGACTAGTCTTACCCACTTACCTCGAGCTGTCTCTTTGCAGGAAGTGACTGGCAGCTTATCTTTTAGCATTCTGTCTTCATCTGAACATCATCAGGTTTAGCATTCTGAGGGATATTCCATGCCTCTAATCGCCTGTGTTATTATTCTGTAAGGGCCTCCTGCAGAATATCTCCTGTCTGACTCACGAGTCTCCAGGTGTCTTTATTTTCTGTCGTCTCCCGTCTCTTTAACAAAGCCAAGCCATCTTGTTAGGCATTGTCTTGAAATAGTTACTGACCCAGGCTAGGATTGGAAAGCCCCCAATTTCTCTACATTTATGGAAGATTCCAAAGCGCCTTCCAGTTTGGGAGTGGAAAACAGAGAAGGGTACCCCAGGCTAACTTGAATCCTCATCAAGGATCACACCGCCAACTCTTCATCTTGATTTTGAGCTCATGTTCTTGATCCCAGGCCTGAAACTCTGCCCATCTTAAGTTTCTTTCCCCAGCCACGCTGGAGTAAGCTCACCCACGCCTTGAGTTCACAAGGCCTGTGTCTGCCTCACTTCACCCCAGAGAGCTTCGTGTGTCTTTTTGCAATTCTAAGACTACAAGTGGACAGTACGAGTGTGCAGTCTCGGGTCCTGGGAGTGAAGATCAGGCTGACGAGGAATTAGCACTAATCAGAGAAAGCGAGGCAACTCTTTGGTGGAGCAGAATTTGTTTGGTGTGTGTTGTATCAAGTGCTAGAGTCGTGGCTGCCACATCATAGGCGCCCAGTCACCGAGAGAATACGTAACCCCACAGTAGGAGGTTAACTACCTGGTTAGGCAGGATTCCAGCGATTATTGATTATGTCACAGTCTTTACTGTCCTGAGCACAGTCCGTCATTATCTCCACCTGTCAGATGCTGCTGGCCACCTCCCACAGACAAGATGCCCGTCCATCCGCTCTTCTAGTCCTGGGAATGGTTTGGTTTATTCTAAAGCCTAGCTATATAAACTGTGGGTCGTGACCCCGTAGTGAATGTGGGGGTCAGGAAAAGTTTAGCAATGGCTAAAGGTTTCTGATCATGCAACAACCGAAAGTTAATTCCAAATCAAGCACATTAGTTGCATTATATACATTAATATAATTACATGTGTAATATGTGCACAATAGAATTACATTATATACATTAATACACCCTGATTCAGGGGTGTTCCTGACTGTAGTGGCCCATGTCACATTGTGGGATGTCACTGCAGTTGAATTTCATTCAAAGAATCCATGGGGGACTGTGGAGATGGCCCAACCAGGAAAGTACTTCCTGCACAACCATGAGGACCAGAGTTTGACCCCCAGCACCTGTAGAGGCTGGGGTTCCTGGGGAGGCAGAGACAGAAAGGTCCTTGACGCTTGCTGGCCAACTAGTACAACTGAAGCGACAAGCTCTAGGTCCAATGAGAGACTTTCTCAAAAAAATTATACTAACCTATAGGGCTGGAAAGATGGGTCAAGAGCATAGGTCCTCTTGCAGAGGAGATGAGCTCAAAGTGCGTCACAGCTGCTGCGGATCCTGTGCCTTCCGCCTCAGCAGGAAACTGCACTCATGCATATACTCCACCCTCGTCACACACGCACGCGCACGCACGCACGCACACGCATGCGCACACACACACGGAATTTAAAAATAATTAAAATAAATCTTAGAAACATTAAAGCAGAGAGTGACTGAGGAAGATACCCAATGTCAGCCTCTGGCCTCCACACGTGAGCATGCGTGCTCCCCACCATATGAACACACGTGCACATACAGATCCTTAAATAAATTTTAGCTTGGAGTTAGGACAGAATATACAACTTTTTTTTTCCAGAAAGAGCCCTAAAAATAATTTTGCCACCTTGTACTACATATTTATGCAACGCGGAGGTCTCATTATTGACAAGTATAAAAATCAAAATAATATTAACTCTGAAAATCATTAAAGATACTTTCTACCTTGTGGAATCAAGTACTCAACCAAGATTTCATTCTTTAGGTAAAATTAAGCAGGCATAGCTATCTCGTTAGTATGAAAATTTACTTTTATCTTTAATAAGTGGTAACATTGTTTATGTGTCAAAGAATTGATGTGAAATATTATATTATCAGTAACTAGTATCCATAAATGCTTGATTTGTGTACTTGTTTTATGTGCCTGTGTGTATACCCTGGGATCATATACAGTCTCTTGGGCTGAAAGGAGTTTTGGGAGTGCAAAAAGCTTGAGCAGCCCGGTTCTGGAGCACCACACCTCACACCCGGATTCCCCTGTGCACACTAGTGGTTGGTGTGCAGTTTTGGCTTTTAGTGTCTTGGTGGACACATTCCTTGGAACAGTGGGCCTCTAATTCCCGGTAGAAAGGATTCATCCTGGAGGGGACGTGGCTACAGGTATCCCTCAAGCAGGGAAGAGGCCAATCTGTGTCCTATGGGGGGTGGTCTCATGCCAGGGTTGTAATCCCTGGAGGTGGGGTTCCTCCGCTAACACGTGGGGTGAGGTTTCCTGTCCTGGTGGGGCTACTGGGTCGATGTTCCAGCAATGCTAGCAGTGACTGCAACCACAGCAGCTGCTCCAACGCCTCTTCTCTGTGGAGTCAAGACTTAATGGGATGGACCTCCAGCTCCTCAGTAGGATTCCGGGGAATAGGTACACCATCTGGTACCTATCAACCCCCTTCCCAGCCTCCAGAACTGCTGTGATAACGCCCAGGCAATATCGGTATTGTCAGGAGGCGGGCCCTCGACACTCATGGGTATCAAGTTCTCTCCATGCTGCAACACTCGTCCCAAACCTAGTTCCCCTCCCGTCCTGGCAGGAGGGAGCTTCAGCAGCTACAGAGGATCAAAGGGACATGCTTGTCAGGTGCTGGGGAAGATCTTGTGGGACACATCTCATCCTATAGTCAACATGCAGCATTATGCCCCTCTTTCCCACAGCCATCATTGCTGGTCCTAAATGCTTAGTGTGTGTGGGGGGGGGCTGTAAATAAAAGGGCAATGTGGGTTCTCTTGGGAATAACGCAAGCTTGGCCAAGACTTCACAGACAATGGATAGGACCTGTTTGCCTAGAAATCTACAACCTTGATGATCCAATATGGCTTTAACCTTAAGCCTCTTGTGCCTCAACAAGAGCAACTGACTCAGTTCTGTCAGGAAATCAACCACGGGAGCTTGCTCCTGCTGAGAACGCAGTGGGAAGAGGTGTCGCTCCTGGCTGCTCACGGAGGCTGTCCTCTCTTGCTTTCCCCATCACTAACCACCCTTTTTGTCATGCTTGGTATGGTTGCTCCCTACCTCTTATCTGCCTTTCTGCTATCTGTGGTTTCAGAAAGAGATCATTCATAAGAGTTAACTTGTAAGGCATTCTGAGCAGTGTAATAACATCTTGTGTTATATAGTTTGGCCCCAGGTAGCATATAAACCCCTCCTCTGTGCAGAGAACCACACTGCATGTGTATTCACCCTGTCAGTCCTTTAGGAGCAGTCTTGACTGCTGTGGTATCACAGCGCTTGTTCAGGCACCTTATCCAATAATGGCCCTTGAAGTATAGGAAGAGTAATGTTGCACCTCGGAAAAGTCAGACAGAGGCCACTAAGTGCTTCCTTCATGTAGGAAGGAGGAAGTTTCCAATGTAATAAGGAAAGAGAAGGAAACAGCATGCTGAGATACCTAAGATCTACGGTAACAGCAGAAGCCCTGCTCACAGGTGCAGGAAGAATAAGACATTTTGCTCATTGTGCTGTTGTGCTCCAGACTTCAAAGTCACAGCCTTGGTCCATGGTGTAACAGAAAAGGCCCTGAAGGGTAGGGTTGGGTGCCGTCCACAGTTGCAGACATCACCAGAGGTCCAAGAATGTGTCTCCCATGAGCAAAGGGGGTACTACCGGACAGAGTGTGGGCTTGAGCCTTGGATTTGTTCCCCATCCTACTACTTTCTGACACTGAGGAAAATCATATTAAACCTTCTCGGCTTCTCACCTGGAAAGCAAACAGTGATAATGTCACTGCTAAAGTGTCATAAGGGGTCCGGAGAGACGGCTCAGCAGTTGACAGCACTTGCTGCCCTTGCGGTGGAACAAGGTTGCATTACCAGGACTCATATCAGGTGGTTCACAACCTCCTAGCTCTGGGAATCCAATACCCTTTTCTGGCCTCTTCAGGCTCCAGGTACACATGTTTTATATATATATATATATATATATATATATATATATATATATATATTCAGACATATAAAATAATAAAAATAAAGAATTTTTTAAAAAAATATTTGCATAGCACTATAAGTTTGAGACCAGCTTGGTCTACATGGCAAGTTCCAGCCAAGGTTTCAGGTTTGACACCATGTCTCAAACAAACAAACAACAACAAAAATATCTGAAGGATTCAAGATTACATGTAAAGTGCCGAACACATTTAATAACTAATGATATTACCACTTTTATTTTATGATTTTTCTCCTCTTTTGCTCTTGTTATTAGATTTTGGCAATGCTAAGGATTGAATCTCATGGTTTGCATGCCTTCAACAAGTACTCTATCCCCATTCAGAATTCATGCCTTACTAAAGACTTTTTTTTAAGATAACTGTATATTCACATTTAAAAAAATGACTCAGACTTCCTTGCTCATCTTCTCCCTCCTTCCGCTCCTCATTGGGACCTTGGGAGCTCAGTCCAGTGCTCCAGTGTGGGTCTCTGTCTCTATCTCCATCCATCACCAGATGAAGGTTCTATGGTGATATGCAAGATATTCGTCAGTAGTGCTATAGGATAGGGTCATTTCAGGTTCCCTATCCTCAGCTGCCCAGGGGACTAACTGGGAACATCACCATGGGCTCCTGGGAGCCACTCTAGGGGATGCACCCACCCACTGAGACAATGGGACTGATCTATTGGGAGCTCACCAAGGCCAGCTGGACTGTGACTGAAAAAGCCTGGGATAAAACCGGACTCTCTGAACATGGCGAACAATGAGGGCTGATGAGAAGCCAAGGACAATGGCACGGGGTTTTGATCCTACTTCATGTTCTGGCTTTGAGGGAGCCTAGCCAGTTTGGATGTTCACCTTCCTAGACATGGACAGAGGGGGGAGGACCTTGGACTTTCCACAGGGCAGGGAACCCTGACTGCTCTATGGACTGGAGAGGGAGGGGGAGAGGAGTTTGGGGGAGGGGAGAAGGATGGGAGGAGGGGGAGGAAAATGGGAGGCTGGGAGGAGGTGGATACTTTTTTTTCCTTTTCTCAATAAAAAAAAAATGACTCAGAATAGCTCCATCAAAGAGATCTCCTGTGTCTCCTTGAACTGTTCACTGAACCCATACCCCTCCTGCCCTTTTCTTCTCTATCCCAGGTGACTGCTGATCTGCCCTTCAACCCTAAAATCCTATAGAAACTGAATTAGAAAGTATGTAACCTCTGGGGAATTTCCCCCCTTAGCACAATCCCCAGTTATTCATCCAGGTTGTGTGCGCTGGAAGTTCAAGCCTTTTCTTGCTAAGCAGTCTTATGTGAGGCTTGTGCATCCTGGAGTTTGTTTAATGACTTACGGACTAAAGAACATTTGAGTCAATTTCTGTTTTGTTGTCATGGATAAAACATTTGTTGTTAAGTTCTTACTTCTCTGAGTCCAGAGCCGGGTGCCCTGGTTTCATTCCTGCTGCTGTATAAAATACCTCAAAAAAAAAAAAAAAAAAGCAATTTAAGGGAGAAAGGATTTGTTCAGTTCACATTTCCAGGTCCCAGGGAAGTCAGACTTGGGGCAGCTAGTCACATCACACCCACAGGCAAGAGCAAATGAACACGCGCAGCTCGCTGGCCTGCTTCCGCTCTTCTCCATTTCTCCACTATACAGTTCAGCGCCCCTTGCCTAAGGAATGGTGCTGCCCACGGTGGGCTGGGCTGGGAGGATGGAAAGTTCCAAGCCAACTTGGGCTGGCTACAGAGTAAAGTCAAGGATGGCCTGATTATATCAAAACCCTATCTCAGAAAGTTCCAACAAAATCTCCAAAACAAAATGGTGATAGAACAATGATAGAGCATGATAGGTCATGACCCCTTGGGGGGGGGTTGTCAAATGACCCTTTCACAGGAGTTGCCTAAGACCAGCAGAAAACACAGATATTTACAGTACAATTCATAACAGTAGCCTAGTACAGTTATGAAGTAATAACGAAAGTAATCTATGATCGGAGGTCAGCACAACATGAAGAGCTGTATTAAAGGGTCGCAGCATTAGGAAGGTAGGGACTACTGTGACAGAGGCAGAGGGACAAAGACCTTGAAGTCTGTATAGCGCAGTTCCTACAAAGTATTGAATTTCTGTCCCCTAAAGTTGCCAGTTGCTGTCTTCACCTCCTGGTCCCCAGTTGTATTATAATGTGGCAGCTTGTCTTCTGGGCTGAGTAAATTTAAAATCCTGGAAGTATGACTGAAACTTGGGGTTCACATGCGTCCGGCACATGTGCTTGGGAGGTGGTACAAGAATGCGCATATCAGAGTTTCCAACCTGTGTTGACTGACCTGTCACAGGCAGGGTGTGTCGGTTTCACAACAGCAGTTAAAACAGTGGCTGCAGAGGACTGAGAAGCCAGCTCCCGGGTGACAATGGCAGGAAGGGCAGAGGCTACCCAGGCTCGTCTTTCTCCTAGGGCGTGTGGCAGTTGAGCCTCCTGTCAACACCATCCTAAGGCAGGGAGGGACTCAAACATTTGTTTTGTTTTAAATCACAAAACCAGCTACACCATGTCTTCCAAACACCAGTAGCTGTCCTGGATGGGCAAGATCCTGTTCAGGCTCCCTGTAGTCGCTGTTCTCGGTGTCAACAACCAAATGAAATTAGTACTTGCTGCCTCAATCTTTCTGGGTGGTCTGTGGGTCATCTGGTTCTAAGTTCAAGTTTTCCAAGCCTCATGGTTATCCTGGTGAATCAGATTTGCTTTTATTTTATTTATTTACTTTTTAAATTTAAAAATAATCTTTTTTCTTTTTCTTTTCTTTCTTTCTTTTTTGTTGTTTTGTTTTGTTTTGAGACAAGGTTTCTCTGTATCTTTGGAGCCTGTCCTGGAACTCACTCTGTAGACCAGGCTGGCCTCAAACTCACAGAGATCTCCCTGCCTCTGCCTCCTGAGTGCTGGGATTAAAGATGTACACCACCTCTGCCTTACTTTTCATTTTGCATACCAATCCCAGTTCCCCTTCCCTCCCCTCCTCCTGCTCCCCACACCACATCCACTCCTCAGAGAGGGTAAGCCTTCGCAGGGGGAGTCAACAAAGTCTGGCACATCAAGTTGAGGCAGGACCAAGGCCTCCTCCCTGTATCTAGGCTGTACAAGGAACCCCCCCCCCCTCCATAGGAAATGGGCTCCAAAAAGCCAGTTCAGATTTGCCTTTAAACTCCATCCTCTGTGAGCACCAAGGTTCCAGAGCGCAACATCTTTCCTAGACTAGAAAGCTCTTAAGCGGCCTGGGATGAAGGGCAGTGGTAGAGTGCTTGCCTAACCCCCAGGATGGGGATAAAAGTGAATGAGTAAATGAATGAATGAATGAATGAATGAGCAAATATCTGAAGGCGTTTTCCTCAGTTCCTTTTGAATCTCCTGAGATTTGCCTCCTGTGTTCTGTCTACCACCAGAGGTCCACAGCCCTCAGGACTGCAGTGAGGCTCGGACATTGAGAGTTTTTACAGCTCTCAGCTGATTCTTTAACGTCCATGGTGCAGGAGCCGAGGTGTGCTACAGAACCCTGTGTGGTGACTTTTGAAGTTGTACCTCGGAGATTCTGATGTCAGTGTGGCTATCCCTGTGGTGGGGATTGGGCATGATGCCCTTATAGAAGCTCAGCTAGCTTAACACACAACCCAGAAAGAGAGTCTTGAGGCACACATGGAATGAGATGCAGACCCTGGGGGCTTCAACTTGAACCCTGCTGAGCAGAGGTATAGAGACCTGAAGAATAGTTATACTCACCTTAAAACTTTCCAAAATTTTAGCTATGGAACAAAGCATTAGATGAGTTAGTACTACTTTTCTAATGGTAGTCATGGGATTGTTCACCTAAGTATGTCCAGCCTATGGTCCATGAGACACATGCATCGTGGGATAGCTATAAATGGGGCCCCAAACAAAACTGTAAGCTAACTTAAAATGTTATGAGATTTTTTTTGTGTCTGTGTGATTTTTTTTTAGAGTTCAATTGTGCAGTTGTTGAGTATGAGCATTGTAGATAATAATGTTGGATCTCAATGTCAGAAGGTTAGACAAGTCTGGGGCTAAAGTGTTTCTGCTTTCCTGGGCTCTACCTCACATCCGGCAAAATTTCACACTTGACATACGAGAACAGGGAAGTAAATTCCTTGTGGGTTATTTGGAAAATAGATCATTCTAAAATCTGAGATCACTGGTTGGCTATCTGTGATAGCATAATGATGGGATGACGTGGACTGCAAATCCTCACTACCTTTTAGTTGGGGCAGACAGAAGTCAGGAGCAGATCTCAGAGCCCGCTTACTACACACACACTCTTAGATACCAGGCCAGCTGCTGACAATCCAGACCCTGGAACAAATTTCTCGACAGGGCCCAGCTATTATAGCAAAAGCTGGTAAATGTCATCTCTACTTTCTGCTTGAGGTTCTATTCTGTAATTTATTCCAGCAACTCCCATTTAGTGCAGCTACTCCCTCTGCCTCGCAAGGTATTGCAAAGGAACCGACATCATGCTGTTGACATAGCTCAAAGCTGGTATTCCCCCACACCAGTTCATTACAGAAACATTCCAAAACTCTGACAAAGCGACATCTCCAGGGACCTAAGGAGAGTAAACGTCAAGTTTGCTCTGAGTCTAGGAGGCCATTTTGAAAAGTGAAGGCCGGGGTCATTTATATGGATACACAGGCATCTGAGTCCCACACCAAATCTGCCTTTTTAGTAAGTTCCCAGAGTGACTCTTGAGGGTAGTTCAGTTTGAAGCTGTGTGCTTAACTAGGCAAATCCAGAGAGACTACTGCAGTCTGGGTTATTTCTGTAAAAATTCGCCCAGTGTGGAAACAATGGGAAGACTGGGACTCAAAAAGCTTAATCCTCCACCCTCCGAGGAACAAGAGCCCCTCCTCCCTTACTACCGCAACTTTTCTCCCCTTCCGAGCTTTAAGCGAGGCCTGTGCTTCACCTGTCCGTACAACTGAAATAAACACAGACCCTGGTTTACTGTAACTAATCCAGAACAGGTGTGTCATTTGCAGCTGAGTTTTATTTTGAGGAGTACAGCAACAGGGATTTGGATGACAGCAGGAGAGCTAGCAAGAGGAGGGTCATTGAACTTTCAGGGTCTCTTTAACTCACCCCTCACCAATACTTGTGGTTGGATGGTATGAGGAAGGTCATTGGGCTTTCAGGGTCCCTGTAACCCATCCTGCACTACTGCCTTTGGCTGGAGCTAGAAGCCATAATCAGGTTTTATTGGCTTGTTTGGGTGTTTCTGTGACTGAAGATGAGCTTGCATCTCTGAAACAAGATGGGGAAAAGGACATTGAAGTAACCAATCACAGACTGACTGAAATAACTGTGGTCATCAAGGTAGTGCAGCCAC